GCGGCCTTTCAGTACCTAAAGGGGGCCTATAGGAAAGAGGGGGAAAACCTTTTTAGTAGGGCCAGCTGCGTTAGGACAAGGGGTAATGGTTTTAAACTAAATCGGGGTAGGTTTAGGCTAGATATAAGGAAAAAATTCTTTACAATGAGGGTGGTAAACCACTGGAACAGGTTGCCCAGAGAGGTAGTGGAGGCCCCATCCCTGGAAACATTCAAGGCCAGGTTGGATGGGGCTCTGAGCAACCTGATCTAGTTGGCGGTGTCCCTGCTGACTGCAGGGGGGTTGGACTCGATGACCTCTAGTGGTCCCCTCCAACCCAAAACATTCTATGATTCTATGATTCACGTAGGTAAATAAAGTGCTGAAGTAAACAGGGGAAGGATAACACCTTTTTTCTTACAGAAGAAATAGTCTCCTCCTTATGACCAGAATCTACAGTCCATGTTTACACCATGATGAATGGGCAACTATTGACTTAGTGCTCCAGAAAAACCTAAAGGGGAGAAAAATAGTCTCAGTATAGTCAGCTCTATTTTTAAAGAGCTACCAAACGTCTCGTTACGCAGTCCCGAGTCACCTCAGAGCAGCGTGGTTTGCCTAGCCTTTACGCTGTGGCTCCCAACAGCGAGGGCTGTATGTACCTCTGTTCCATACAGGACACCGAAATTCCTTAGAATTTCCCTCTGGAAGAAGCAGGTTCTCCTTCACCGTGGAACGCGACGGGTGTTAACTAGCCATGCAAAAGCACATGATAAATATGTGTATTATTTTCAGCATATGGAGTTCGCAGTTACTACACTGGGATGCTAAACCACAGGTTAAATAACAAAGCATTTGAGAGAAATCTACTACAAAAAGACAATGGAAGTGTCTGTTGATAAATATGCTTTACTCTTTAGGCGTAAATCCACGTGCAAATACAACAAACGGCATAGGGATTTAACAAGAAGGGAAAAAAGCAGGGAACAGACAGAAAAGAAATACCACGTTCTATCAGCATGGACTCCGTATTGCTTCGCACTGCAAATCGCTGCACGAAAACAAACTCTGAGTAAACCAAAGACTGAGTTCACGTGAGATCAGAACTCACCCGATACTCTGGATTCAGCAGGTGACACCAAGGAGGTGACCTGCAGAAACCAGCCCTACTTCAAATCTAGGGCTCGGACTGATCTCTACCCTAGGCCAAAGAAGAACATTCTCGCACGTAAGAGAAAGGGGGTGACTTTTGCATCCACATTAAGCTTCTGTCTGGGTGCTTCTTTCAGCCTGGGGACTCCGAGATCATATAAAGAATACTGAAGGGTTTTTCTTCTCCGTTCCGCAGATCCGGGTGTTCAGCACACAGGCAGGAAACACCCTGGTCCTCCCTTCGTATGTTCTCCTGGAGTTTGGTCATTCATGGGCTCATGCAGGCATTCGTAACCATTTGCAAACAGCCAGTACTTGTGGGAATACCTGAACTACCAGGAGCCAACCCTGTGTAACAGCAGCCCACAGCACGATTCTGCGGGTTTCAGACATTCAGCGTTTGCAGAAACCGTATTAGCAACTTGGTGTTCTGGGAGAAGAAAGGAAAAGTCAAGGACATTTTACAGAGAGTGAACAGAAAATAGGACAGCACAAACCTAGCTCCTCATCGGCAGCACCGCCTGCTGTCAGGCCAGCCGGGCAGCCCACGCACCCGGTCCCCGCTGGGAGTCACCCTGCCCGCACCCGGTAACACCGGCACCGGCTGCGAGTTCTGCGCGGCCGCCTACCCCGTCCTGACCCAGCCACACTGGGAGCCTCCTGTGTTCCGTCGGCTCTGCTGGGGCGTGGGGGGGCCGAAGGGATTCCTTTGGGCCACTACCTCAGGATCACCACAACTTCTGCACCTAAAGCAAAATCCCTCTGACGAGAGGAAAAATAAGTGCTGTGCAAGATGAGTGTCTGTCACAACACTTGACCTGCATCGCTGGCAGGGGACGTAACCCCGCTCCAGTAACAAAGCAATTGTCCTTGCATTGCCCACTGTAAATAACACTTGTGTTTACTTAGGGCACTGGAACAGGACGCCGTGCATGCCTGATGCTGAAGAAAAGCCTGTGTGCCTGTTACACCGCAGAGTTTGTACAAGATTAATTATTAAAAACTAGTTGTGTTTCTTAGATTCTTAGAATCTTTTACTCTGAAATGGATGAGACAGCTTGCAGGGCACGCCTCCTGACCCGGACCCCCCCTGAGCACTTTCAAAGATGGAAATTTGAGTTACCACTTGGCTGAGGAAAGAGGAGGAACCATTGATATGTAGGTCTGAAAGTACTTAAAGCAGCACCCAAACCTCTGCTTTGCACCAATTCTCTGTAGAGGTGCCCTCCTGGATCTCACTGGAGCAATCCCGTGCTACGGTGGAAGCTCGGGTAGGAACAAGTGGTCTGCGGTGTTACACAAAACCCACCCATGACAGAGAGGACACAGTTCTAGTAATTTTTTATTTGCCAGACAGCAACTCACCCATTTAAATTAAATACAGATCAATCACAGGATGTCATAAAAGTGTCTCAGCAAGAAACATTTGCTGCTAACAGCACAGAGAGGTGACACAAACACACCACAGTTACAATAAAACCAGCATTCTTTGTTACCCCCTATGCACACACCCCCTGCCCTGGCACTCCCATCAGTAGATTACCCTGTGGGACCGCTGGTGAAAATAACATTTGCCTTCTACTTCCACAGAAACGAGGGAAGCTCCTCCCTAGCTGAGACGAGGGCACTTTTCCAAACATCCCTTTCTGCAGGGTCAGGGCAGGGTCTGTCCTATGGCTTTTAGCCAAAACTGGCTTTAGAGGAGTTCTGAGCTGCACGGATTGAGACAGGCAAGCTCAGTGCTACCCACCCATGCCAGCTCCACTCTCTGTTACCTGCAATAGTGAAGAGCAAGCACCATGAAGTAGCTGGCAGTGGTGAAATGCCCTCGTACTGTACAGTCCATCAGAAGGCAAAAAAAGTCCCTTTCTCAAATGCTTTTAGAGACCTACAGATGCAAATCAGCGTTAAGTGGTGACTGCTAGAGCACAGGTGCTTAACTGTTCCTGGCTTCAATTTCTTCAAACAAATACAGTGACAAGCTTCAGGTGGTGATAAATGTCTGTGACCAAGCCGCTTCTTGGCACTAGAACTGGCCTCTTCTTTAGACAGGCTCTGCAGGTGTCTTTTTATCCACATGCTTTTATCCACAATTTTTACCCACATGCTCCACCGCTCCGTGAAAGAGGTATGAGGCTGCAGCACATGCAGCCAGCTGGGTAGACAGGGTGCTGTTGGAGGCACCCGGGAACAACAGTCAGTGGACAGTTTATGGTGCCCAGCACCTTGAAAGAGCACAGAAGATAAAGGCATGAAAATGAAATCATTCTTGAAGTAGTTTTCTGCTCAGAAAAGCACCTTGTCGTTTTGTGGATAAATACTTTCTTCACTTCTACAGGCAAAAATGTGAGTATTTTTCCAGTTCTATAAAGAACATTCACGTTAATAATAAAGCTATTAAATATCCTACACACACTACTATGCTAGAGGACAGATCTTCTGGCCAGAATTCTCTGGCCAGAATTTTCTGATTCTGTAACTTCTACCTTGCACCCCTTACCATGAGGTGGGGGAATCTCCATGGATGCAGAATTTGCCCCTTATGTCCTCACAACACCCTTGTGAGGTAGATAGGTACCATGACATCTTCTTCAGGAGGGGAAACTGAGGCAAAAAGAGGTGAACTGACTTGTGTGAGGCCGTGCAGCAGGGCTGGGAGCAGAACTCAGGTCATGCCCACAGATGTCTCTGCTGTAGCACACTGCTTTACCTCCCTCCCAACTTCATCTCCAGGGCTCAATGAAAAGCACCCACCTACCACTGACAAAACACACCTCGTCCAACGCCAGTCTTTCTGTACTCGACTTCTGCTTCAGAAATGACATGAACAGGCGCTACACAATGCTCTTCTCACAGGCCCTGAATTCCAAAGTACACAAGACAACTCCCACTGCTGTCAGCCAGCACAAGCCCCAATATCTGGGCCCCTAAATTTTTACAAGGCTTTCAGTTAGAGCCTTTCTCATGCCTTGTCTCCACTCCAAAATTCCAGAGTTAATTAATAAGGCACATTGGGGGCTAATGCAGGAACTTTCACAATAGGTGTGAAGTCCTGTAGGCCACTGGCCATTTCCAGGCTGGCACTAACAAAACACTGGTTGGCATGTGAAACCACATCCTGTGGCCAAGAGAGGGAAAGGCTCCTGGCCCTGCCAGTGCCACAGTGCAAGAAACACAGAGCCAGCCTTAACTCATCATTGCCCAAGACATCAGCTGAATCATGACCAGCATGGAGTTACATTATCTCAGCCCTCAGTAAGGGTGTCTAAACGCAGTGAGATTTGGGAGTGAAAACAAGGCAATGGAAAATGCGTTGGGTGTCAGCTTGGAAGGACTCCACCACATGGCTGAGGCCCAACTAAAACATAACGTAACGTGACGTAACATACCCCTTCTCCCACTGGACAATGGACAACAGGGGTTTCTCTGGACAGCTGCTGACTTGTGGATATAAGCAATAGTTAATGAATTTTCAGCCCCTGCCTGAGTGCAATGTTCAATGCTAATGATTTACAAGTACACACCAGTGATATGACAGTTCAAACCATTTGATACAACAGCCTGCCCTCTCTTTATTTGAAGTTTGATAAAGTCTAAATCTCGGCCTTGATTGGAGGTACAATGGATCACTTGATCATACATGTGATCCAGACACTTTATCCTTAGGGTTGTGTAATTAAACAGCACTTTTGGCTCCAGCATGACTGCAATAAATTTGAGCTGGTTCAGGCCTGAACTGATGTGTGACTCTCGGAAGGTAGTAAACATCAGACAATCTGAAGTGGTGATGAGATTCTATATAGGACTTCGGGCAATGGGGAGTAGCATTAAGGGTCCTTTCCTTGTTTAACACGTGAATTCTTCACTGCTCACTGGTTAGTTGTGCTGTTTGCCCAGGTTGGGAATGTGTCCAGCTCAAACATAGGTCTTCCCCATGTGTTGATGGCCAGTGTGACACAGAAGACTCCAATGATGTTCATCACTATTCCAGATCTAACCTGTGAGGACAAAAGTCCAAACCAACAACAATAACCAAACACCAGCACAGCAAACTGGAGCAAGGCCTATCTGTACATACACAAGAAAGACACATGGTCAAGTAAATCACAGAAACAGCTATTGTACCCACTGGCCTATGTTCTTGCTTAGGTGGAAATACCAGGGAACACGCTGTGAAAAGCCTTTGAACAGTTTGCTATCTAACTAGTCTGGGAGCTTTAAGGCATGTGCAGCAAGTTGCTCTTATTAGTTCAAGAACAGCTTCTGCCTTCTTCAAGTCTCCAGTTAGAAAACCGATAAAGTTTGGGTGTTCGGCACAGAACCTGGCACTGTGTGGTCTGGCAGGCAATCAGAGGACCAGAGCCTAGGGCGACTGATTGTTACCTTCTGCTTTCAGCTCCAGCGGAAACAAGGCTTCAGCTACACTCGCCAAAGCCCCAGAAGACTGGAAAGCACTGACTGCATTTTAACCCTTCAGTGTCTAAGAGACTTACGACTTGTCAGTTTTTAATTTCAGTTGGGCTGGGTTGTATGTCTGCTGAAGCCTGTGAGAAAGGTACTGTTACTTCAGAGACATAAATCTTTATGGTGATGTTAACACCACGTAAGAGAGGGGCATAGGCTGGTAGTTACAGCCCACAAAAGCTTCCTGGTACTTTGGAAATATTTGGCTAAGAAAATTATACTCTTGCCATATTTTGGGATAAAGGCAATGGAGAGCTTCAGATAAGAGAGCAGGCAATTATCATCTTACCATATCCAAAACACGGATGTGGCCATAGGAAAACACTATTGCATTTGGCGGTGTTGCGACAGGTAGCATGAAGGCAAAGGAAGCACTGAGAGTACCAGGCAGCATAACATACAAAGGATGGATCTTGACAGATGCAGCCTGCAAGGAAATGGAGAGAGTATCACGATGGAGGTGTTCCAGAAGAAAAGCATACAGAACATTTCCCAGGCTATTGAGACACACAGGCTCCTTTTATTTCCTGGTATCCTAGTATTTCCAGGGTAACCTACACGCATTTCATTCTGAAATCCACACGTGCTTAAGGATAACTTTGCTCTCATTTCCTGTCCCACAATACTTAAAAACAAATTCTTTCTTGTTGTTTGTTTTGCTCTATGGTATAATTTGGAGTTCTGGTCAAATTTATCCAATGATCTTTTCTTTGACCTCGGACCACACTTTTGCCAGGGTAACACAGGGACAGGATTATAATTACTAGGCATGTGCAGTAACGCTCTTAGACATTACATAAACTCTGTGGGACTCAGAACATAAGTGCCAGTTTCAGTCACTAATAGCTTGGCACCTTGACTGGGATAATTTTACTTTGATGAAATGGTCTAAAATAAAGTGGTTCTACTTTACAAATTAAAGAACAAAGTAGCCTATTTTTTCCTTTATGCTATGAAAGTCAATTCTGCTCAGAAAAGGCAGCAAACTTACCAGGTTTTCCTCTGTAAGCTTTAAAATTGTTCTGGCTTCCTATGGAAAATGACACATTTCTAATAATCAGGCCTACCACTTTCTGTATTCTAGCATCAACCCATGAAGATGAAGGAATTATTCAAAGGGATGAATAGAAAGTGCTGGATTTTGTTTTGGTTTGGGTTTCTTATGTGTGTGTTTTTCCAGTTCTGAGTTGGTGGTTCAAATACAAAATGACCAGAAGTAACTGATGTTTCTTGAGCCATATTAAAAAAGCGACTCTCACTTCACTTTCTCCAGGGCCAAGGGACACACCTTACAGAAGGCTTGAGCTGGCTTCCTTTTCAGTGAGGGTGCCATGGGATAGGCATCCTGAATTAGCTTCTTCCCCAAGAAGCTGGTCCTCAGGGTTCAGGCACACAGGTAGGGCAGATGATTGAGGAAAGTTTGCATTCCCACTTTCTATCTACATATAATGCTACAAACATAGCAGCGAACACCAGTTGAAATCACTATCCATTATGGTATACTGTCAGATGGGCTGTTTCATCACTGTCTTTCAGATTAACATTGAAGCAATATTCAAGACAATAAATATGACACTGCTTTGCCACTAGAGACTGTCAGTTGAACTCTGATCTCCCAGCTGATAGGATAACAAGATGGAAGTAAGCTTACCATGGATGAAAAGACAGGTAGGAAGAGGGTGGCTGTGGCAACATTACTGGTGCATTCAGTGAAGACAGCTATAATAAGTGAAAGTACTGTTGCAATGGCCCACGGTGGGATAGATCCTAGTGGAGTCATTTGATGACCCAGCCAAGCTGAGAGCCCAGAGTTCTGACAAGAAAGAAAAGTGTTTTTCAGGGAGGCTTAGAACCCCTAGCTCATGAACAGGGAACTCATGTTACATGTAATATTCCTACCAAATAATGCTAAATGACTCCTGAATTATATAAACGTCATCCAGGAAAGCACAATGATCTGTCACAAACACTAGAAGAAATTCCTTGCCAACTAGGCATAATACTGAGTCCCACTTTCCTGATCTTTCTGGAACACAAATACTTGCTCACACTTTGGTTATAAAATTATGGTTTTTGCTAAATAGAAACAATTTCTGCTGAGACTATTGCAAATACTTAATGTATTACTCAGAAGTTTCCTGGCATGTTTTCCTAAGGTTTCTGAAGATACTAATGCTGTATGAATGCTCTATTGCAGGAACATAGGCAGTGATTGATTCAAACAGCTTACAAAACATTTGACTTGATGGCTTCTAATGCTCTGGAGCTTTAATAACGTATGTATGATATATGTAGATGCATGTAAGGCCCTAGAACTTTAATTTGCCCCATGGTTTAAAGCTACCTAGCCACAAAAGTCACATCTGAATATGAGTTTCCCCAAAGCATGTCACTCTTGATAGCTAAGGCCTGCTTTGATTTAGATGCATCTCAGCAGTGGTGAAGGAAACAATATGGTTCACCTCAAGATTCTTCCCTGTCTTGGGAATTCAGCTGCCTTTTCTGTGAATTTATGAACACAGGACCAAACCATGGGCTTATGGAATGCAGCATATTGCCTGGCAACAGCCACTGACATGAAGTTCAAGAAAGCTCACTGTACACAATTGTGGAAGATATCTATCCACAGTGATTTTCTTCCTGACCACTTCAGTAGTGGTTTGGTTTAACTCTGCAGATACATATCCTTTAAACAGATCTCAAATGGTCCTGAAAATCATACAAGTGTTATCTACAAGTGTTGTGGAAAGTGTCCCTGCTCATGGCAGGGGGGTTGGAAATAGATCTTTAAGGTCCCTTCCAACCCAAACCATTCTATGACTCTATGATCTCTACTTCTATTTTTCTAGCGAGGGCTGGGATCAGGATGATAACAGAAATAAGAAGGGCTGCTTTTCTGGTCCATCCAGCCAGTGAAGATCCCAAACTACTCAGCAGCCTCCAAGAGGTAAGATACATTGAAGAAACTTGGTCAGAGCACACAAATTCCTGAAAAAGAGGCACAAGCATTCACCTCTCCTCACAGCAAAATCCAAATTTTGCTAATTTGGATCTGCCTCCAGATCTGAACATCTCTACTGGGTTTGGCTTTGGGTGCATGCCCAGTAAATACAGGACTAGATAACAAACCAGGGAAGATCGCCTTTGAGTCAGAGAAAAACAGATGTCAGGACATACTGCGCTTGCATCAGCCAAAGCAAAACCTCCTCCCAGCAGCAGCACAATGCTCCAGGGCATCTTCCTCTGAACCACATTCCAGTCTAGCAGCGGGGCTGATAAAAATGGCTTTTTTATATCTGAAGTGAGAAATGAAAAGCAGAACATGTTTTAGGAGAGTGAAGACATTTTGTCTCCTGTTAGACTGAGAAACCTGCTCAGGGTAAGGGTAATACACATGAGCAGGGACCGTGCCCCAGCCCTGCCCAAGAGCCACCGTGAAGAACTGCATGCAAATCCAGTATATGTTTCTGCCACGTTAGCTGGAGCTCGCTGTTCCACAACACTACAATCCCTCTTTTAAATACCTTCTTCAGTCTGTTCAGGGTCAGACATGCTTGGATTCCAGCCTATGAATTTGGGTTTATTAGCAGGAAGGATAAACAGTAGCAAGGCAATAAACACAGCAGGAGCAGAATCAGTGATATACCTAAAGAAGAAAAGAGAATAGAGCTTAGAAAATCGACATTCTCCTAGAAGATGGCGGCCTTCCAGCATTGTGGTCACTGCTCTTTGTCATCCTGTTTGGGGCTTGTACTGTAGCAAAATGGGTCATTAGTTCATGACTGAGGTCTCTCAGACCTGCCACAACACAAACACAGTAATAAAAGAAAACTATCTACAATACACATTAATAACCAGAGTCACAGATGACAACGGCTCCTGGGAGCAAGGTTCCTTCTCTGCGGTGAAGCCAAGATTCAACAGCTTTATCTCAAAGAAAGATGTGTAAAGAAATGGCCCGAATGATAGTCCCATTGTGCATTTTATGTTCTTAATATGCCACAGACCTTATACAAAGAAGCCACTCAAAGCACCAAATCAATTTCCCAGTGAGTTCTATGCTATTGTTTAGAGACAATATTACCAAATACTCAAATGATTGGAGCTTGTATGAAAAAAAATACTAATGTGTACATCAGTGTGACTGAGATCAAGCATCACAGAATCTTCTCTTCCTTTAGGAGGTTCAGCTTGCTCCATGTCCCAGTCTCCAGCCTTCATTGCAGCACAAACTGTCAAACAGTAGATCAATTGGTGATCCCGCACAGGAGTGACAGGATCAAGTGCAGCAAACGTGAATTCAGATAAGGTTGGAATGAATGACCCCACACTCAAAATGAAATGTAAGAGCAAAGGAATCTGACTCACAACCAAGAAGGTACAGGATGAAAAAAACCCTAAAAACTTACTTTTCTCCTTCTGGGAAGAGCCTGGTGGCCCAGCCTTTTACAAAGCCTGGGTGTCTGGAAAACCACAAGAGAACCAGCAGAACAAACATCAGGAGGACATTGAATTCAGCGTAAGAGATAGGGCCCAATTTCTTCATTTCTGCCTTCAGTACGTTGTATGCAGCTTTTTCTTTAGCAGTTCTCTCTGTCCCACAGCCCCAGCTTTTTTTAAAGCTTCAAGAAAAAGGGAGAAGAAAATACTGTAAGTATTAACATACTAGAAGGATTTAATATGCTCGCCACTCTGAAGCTGTCACCCCTGGGGACAGACACAGACTACAGCAGAGGCCAGGAACAAAGAAATGTCAACAGTGTCAAAGTATTTCATGGGGACATGCCAGTTCTCACAGAAGAATGGGGTCTATGAATGGATGTAAGTCTCTGTCCAATTCGGAGCAACCTGGGATGAAAAACTCAGTGTTGAATCAAGGGTAGCAAAACAGATATGCTAGCTCTCCTAGGGTTGAAATTCTCAGATGTAAAATTGAAAAATAAAAAGGCAATTCTGTCTGAACATTAAGAACGTATAAAGCTTTTGCCTTGGTGCAACTCCCACAAACACAAAAGGTTTCCAGACGTCAAAAGTTGCTGTGAAATGGAACTGCTCTCTGCTACAAAACTAATAACTTGTCAGTGCCTTTATTTTACTCAGATTTCTCAGTAAGTTGATCTGCATGAGCTGAGGGGTTTACACAGTATCATGTAGTTAAATACTCACTTGAGTCCCATGAAGGAGCACTGTAGCCAAAGCCAAGCAAGTACCAACATCAGAATCATGTTTGGGAATGCAAACCCAAACCAGGAAGCAAAATTCACAACATCATTATTTTTGGGGTATAACCTGAAAGGAAAAATGCTTACATTTAGTAATCTACTCTCCCTTTAATATGTGTTAGTGACAATTATACATGTAAATCTAGGACAACCATTACAAGTAAACATAGGCAACATCCATAGCCTAACTGAAGTCAATAGGAAGACAGCCTGGATTTCAGAGAAGAATTTAAATGATCCTCTGTTTTCCCTGAATTTTACTTTAGTGCATATAGGAGCTCATGTTGATATTTTAGGTCTCAGTGAGACAAGCACTGCTGGAAGATCTCCCACGTGTTCTAGGTACCTTTCACTTCCAACATGTCTGCTGATTTATCCCAAGACAGGATGTTCTTTCTTCCTCCCCATTCATTCCTCTGCTGATTACCAGCAAGTATTTCCAAGTTTCGCAGGAGACCTATAATACCAGCACATAGCTGCCTAAAAAAGGCTGAAGCTGAAAAATGTGGGCCCTCACTCTCAGTTCATCAACCGGTTATTGCTTATAGTTTGCAACTGAACCTGCTATCAAAGACTGGTCAGTTGGTCAGAGAAGCAGTAAGATAGTAAGTAAAAGAAACAGCAAGACTGACTTACTGATTCATCTGGCCTTTCAGTACCATGTTTGGTCCTGTTCCAGTGAGCGTTGCAGTTCCTCCAATGCTGGCAGCATAGCATACACAAAGTGTCATTCCCTTACATATACGCTTCCTCATTTTCTTTTCCTCAGAAGATCTGGGGTCATCAGGGACTTGTCCATTGCTTATGACTAGACACAAAGAACACGACTTGCCTCAGGTAAAGTTAGGGAAGCAGAGAGTTCAGGACAGGGTCTCCAGGCTCAGTGCTTCCACTTTGTGTATGCCATTTATTTTAATTCAAAAAAACCAACCACAGATATGTTGTCAAACACTTTGGACTCATGTTCATGAGGAGCTCAAGAGAGAGGCTGACAATCTGTGTCTACACGATCCAAGGATGCTGTTGTCCATATCAATGCCACAGTTACTCAGCAATAATTTCCTGTTTCACAGAGAGGCTTACCACCAGCCAGATATTGTAGTCACTGGAACCACTCCAATACCACAGTAAGAGCCCAGCTAGCTTTAACAGCTGTGAATATGGGCAGAAAAAAATCCACCCAAAACCAAATTCTTGCCTGGTGTAACTGTTAAGATCAATATGTTATGTCAGTTTACACCAACCATGAAATTTTGCTGCTGTGTCCATTGTTCTCTGAGGTTAACAGTCTAACCGTGAAGTCTGACTGGACTAATGGAACAGGACAATGAATTTATGACATATACAACCAACTTAACAATACCAAATATTTTTTGCACACATGTATTACCTCCACTATATGTTAGAATACATTAGTCAGCAAAGCCAAGCAGATCCTTCTAAGTGGACAGAAAACCAGTAAAATTATTATTACTGGTCTTGGAGCAGAAGTCTGGTTTTGGGATTCAAGAATCAACATTAAAAAGAGCATTTGAAAATATGAAAACTTATCTTTATTACAACTGTTTGGAAGCTAGAAATGAGCAACCTTACAGAGTACTCTGTGACCAAGTGACATTCTCGTGGGCTTGCACATCTTGCATAAACATGGTGTCTGAGCTTTGCACAATAATAGTGCCTTCTCGAGTGAGGTAAGAAATGAAGCAACTGAAAAGCAGAAATCACAGTTGTATCTAAACTATGCCTCCAAGGTCCAAACAAATATGGCAGTGATGAGTCGATCTCATAACACAGAAATGCCTGGCACACATAAACACCATTCTTCTACACTGTGTCCTCCATGGACATGTTAGCCAGAAAATGGGCATGGTATGTCCCAAGGAGAAGGCTTGAAATGGGGAACATAGTATGCACTACCAACATTTGCACTCATTCTTGCACACAGTCATACAGGGAATCGTGGCAGATCAACTTGCTGATTCTGTGAAATAACATGAAAGTTCCCAAGACAATCCTTTCTCCTCTGAAAGAGGAAGGCACTATGGATCTGATCTTTAATGGTATTTAATAATACAGCCCTCTGTCACGGCACAGCAGAGCAGTGAAATCAGAGGGACTGAGTTTGTCTGCATGGTTCAAATCAAGTAAAACCTACTGCAGAACCACAGCATCGACAGAAGGACCATGTGGAGTCAAGCACCAGGGTAAGATCACACTTTAAAGCATTCCAAAGAGTAGTTTGTCTACTGTGAGTCAAATGACACCAGCTCCTCTTTTCCATATAGCTTTTAAAGTATTCCTCTTTCTTCTCTCCACCTCCACGTACAACCTTGTCAATAAAGAGATATTTATTACCCCAGAACAGAAATGGGTTGCACTTGGACAACATTTTTTGAACATTCATACATAGCTTAGAAGCTGAATCCCCACTGACAATCACAAGATTTGGAAAGTGGGATGCTGGGGGGTTGAATGATATTTCCCACAGGATATGCCTTTCCCTTCCCTGAGCAGGCAGTTAAGTCTAGGGAAACTATGAGAGGTTGACCCCAGCTTGAAGGAAAGAGCGTAACAGTCTGCATGAGATCTAGCACTAAGCATAACAAAATGGCAGCCATCAAAACTGGAGGCCATTTTGTAAAACCTAAATGTCATGCATTTAGGGATTTTCAGTCAGGTTACCATCATCTTTCCTTGGAAAAGGTACAGAGAACTCCTTCTAGGTCAGGGAGCTCTGACTGCGGTAAGCTCAGTAAAATCAACTCACTGCTGAGTAGGTCCTTACCATGCACTGAAGTGGGATCTGATGCATTCTTTTCCTCCAGCTCAATCACTGTATTTGTTTGCCCAGTTACTTGTTCTAGCATGGTCACATCATACTCTGTGTTGTCCATCTGATCCAGAACAGCCTGAACAATGGGAACCATCATAGCAGTGGTGGCTGTGTTACTTATCCACATGGACAGGAAGGCAGTGACTACCATAAATCCTAGCATGAGGCTGAAAAGAGAGAAACAGGCAGAGGTGAAAGGAGGAAAGAAAGTAGATGCTGTTGAGCTTTGTAGTTCTTGTAATTCAGAGAGTAGAGCCCAGACAGGGATGTGTGTAGCGTCCAGTAATACAAAGCAGAGCCAGATTCCCCTCTCGGACAGCTCTGCCACCTTCACTGAAGGAATCCCAGAAAGCCATTTAGCTCCTTAGTCTGCGCATGATTAAGTCTGTCATAATTTATCCCCAATGGCAAGCATCTAGAATTTAGCCGGACGCTGGTTTTGGCTAAAGGACAAATAAACTGTTCCTCCTGCCAGACTTCACCTCTGGAAACTCTGTACAAGTGCAGCTAAAGAGGCTCTTGAAGGTTCCCGTCCCTGCTGACTGTTAAACACCATCCCTAGGCCTCTACTAAAGTGACACAGGCAAGGAAGAAGTAACGTAATATTCTTACAGTGCAGGTTTCACCCCAAGAATCAGCAGGACCCTCAGCGCAATCCTTTTGTGAAGATTCCACTGTTCAACAGAAATTGCAACGATCAGCCCTCCAACAAAGAGCATGTTTGTGTCATTTAGGTACTGCAAGCACACCTGAAAGACAGAGAAGGTAGGTCAGGGGCCCAAATGTTGCTCTTGCTAGCTTCACTAGTACATTTTGCCTGCCATCCTCTCAAAGCCATTTACTGCACCAGGCCCCATCCCAACACTGGCAGAAGGGGCAGTTGCAGCAGAGCTACCTCGAGTTTCCTGAACCCTTGATCCCCTGTTTAAGTGCTGAACTGTCTAGTGCAGGTGCTCTTCGTGCACCACGAACATTCTTTTGGGATCATCAAGAGTTAAGAAAGTATAAAATGACAGCAGTTTCCTAAAACATTGTTAGGGGCTCAAAGTATTGTGTAGGTACTAGAAATGCTGAGCTCCAAAATGGATTTCTCAGCACCTTTAGCAGCCACACCTGCCCTTACCAGCTTGTTGGCCAGTAGTGAATATGAGCTACAGTACCTAAATACAGCCTCTCTCCCTTGGACTAAAGCACCAGCACAAACAGCCAGAATGAGCTTTGGAGGGGACACAGTGTACTTGCAGCCATCGTGATGTCTACCCTGTCAGAAGAAGTTTGTCCCATGCATTTTGAGATATGTCAGCACTGCTCTCTCATGGGATGGGTTATGAACACACAAGCTGCTGGCACTAGTGGGATGCTCTCCAGCAGGATCCATGCCCAGAAATGGACTTTCTCCTCTACAACCTCAAGCCCCACACCTTTAACATTTTGGGCAAATGTGTACTTAGTTCAGCATCTTTCCATACAGGAACCCTGAACACTGCTGAACATGTTCAAAACCACCACTACAGAACTGGAGCGTTTTCCTATCAGACTTGTTTGCTAAATATTGACAGGGGGATCAGAGCAGTGGATATCCCTGTATCAGATCTGGATTGAGCAAGTTCCTTACTGATTTAGAGCTCTGAACTCCAAGCAGAGGGAAAAATACCACAGGCATGAGGGAGGTAACAGCCAGTGGGATCACTTCAGTGCACCAGTACACAGCCATGATGATGATGATATACGCACATTTGGCCTCCTGCAACATAATGAAAGAACATTTAAGCATAGAAAACCATTCTTAAAGATAAGAAACACATCGGTAGCTCTCATAAGGGGCCCAAACACTCCACTGCCTGTAGCTTAACAAGTTATGCTGAAATAAGTAGCAGAGACATGAGGATTTAAACTTGTACTTTTAAACCTTGTTCTGAAGTCACTTGCATAAAAAGATCTTTTTGACCACAGTGTTTGTTCTAATGCACCCACACAAAATGTAGGGTGTGAGGAAAACAAGCCTTCCACAGCTAGGTAAGTACAGTTTGCAGTGTGCAATTACCTCTTGGCAGTTGAGGTAAGCAGATTTCACATCTAGGAGCCAAGGATTTTTAGTGATGTCTGTCGATTTTGGCATTTTCTATTTTGAATTAATGATTTTCAAGTGGATGATTAGCTTGTCTGAAATTCACAATTCGTAGAGGTGTGTCCAGGAACACACCTGAGCCCAGAAACTGTCTCACTGGATAATTTAAAAGTTCTTAACTTCTTTAAGTAAAACTCTTTCACCTTCTTTCTTGGTGACTAAGCACGTTAGAGGTATTTAATTACTTTCCCAATTCATACTGTGCTTACCTACTAAGAGGATTCTCTAGATGAGAAATGTTGTAACATGTCTTTTTAAACTGTTGATCGGGCATTTCTGTAACCTAGCCTTCCTTGGTCTGTACTTTCAAACTTGTCAGGAGAAGCAAGCATTCATTAGCCAACAGTAAACAGTGTTTCAAAGCTTAAATCAGTGTTCTGTAGCTCAGAATTTGCTCATATTTAGAGTATGTGTTTATAGGATTTGATTCTAATGCAACAAATGGGACTTTATTGCAAAAATAAATGGTGTTACAGTGACATTTAAAAATTGCTGTAAGGTGGTATTTATAAATAAGGGTGTGTTTTCCCTCATTTTGTTGAGAAGCTTAAGAACCAGAAAACAGCCTTTGTAAGTAATTTGAATTTTTTTTTTTCTTCATGTTTCCAGGAGGTTAATTACAAGTTTTGAAAAAAATGTTTCTTCAGAGACTAAAAGATATCAGACAGATCCTGTTTAAGTCTCTTCCCTTAATAAATATGAGGTGAGCTCATGATACGATTTATGCTGTACCACAGTAACTAAGTGCTAGAACTGACTGTGGTTAATCTGTTGCCAGTGTGAAAGACAGATAAACAACCCTAAGCGAATAAAATTCACAATACAGAAGAAACATTGGTTTGTAAAGTGGAGAGTAAATAATTCATGTGAAGTTCAAAAATACAACCATGCTTATAAATTAACTCCAACAACCACAGCCAATTCAAACACCCAAAGATCTGGAATTAAACACTTACCTGTACCTACACCTATAGTGATTAATGGGATTTGTGGGATTTCTGTGATTTATGGGAACATTCACAGAATGTTTCTTTGGAGTCTCTGCACAGTTGACAGGAAACACAGTGATCTGCCCTCTCACTGGGAGCCAAAAAAGCAGTCACTGACGGAAATGTTACTCTCCCGTTGTGAAATACCGTAATTTCCCAGATTAGACTGATGGCACAATACTCCTACAAATACCAGAAAACTGAAGACATACTTATTTTTTTAGGGAAATTATCTTTCCTGGTATTGATCGAAGTAGTGCCCAACAGCCAGGAATTCCTCTTTCAGCATTCAGCTGAAAGGCAGGGCTGACATTATGTAGACAGGTAAACCAGAATGGCTGGCAATTTGGTTCATAAATATGCATGACATTTCCCTGTACTTTAAAATGCACTGAGCACTCTAGGTCACTCAGAAGAAAGACTGGTTTTAGCATGAGAATAGATTCTAAAGCTCTAGTAGGCTAAAATACTGTAAACTGAACTTTCACATTTTCCCAAGAAGGCTACAAGACATTAAAGACCAAACTCTTCACCTAGGCTATTCCAATTTTATGCCGGTATAACTCCATTGAAAGGAAAGGAGTTGTGCCACTGCCATCAGTGGAGTAAGATGGATGTGAATTGGCGGATACTGCATTTGAAACCCTGTTACGATCACTGCATAAGGCACAACGCACAGCTTCCGACTGCACCACTGGTGGAGAATGCCAGTCCGCAACACGCCTTAAAGCATCCCAGAGCCTCAGCAGCAGAAGGAGCTGGAGAACCCAGGAGTCCTGTCTTTCAGCCCACTGCCATCATTACTGGATAATGCAAGACACAATTCTCAGTGTGCAGGACAGTTGTGCCTATATTTATCTTTGGCCCCAAAAGAATTGCACCTAATTTGCAAGATGGGGTGGGTCCGTGGGAGCCCCAGGTCCCGGCAGTGGCACAACCCTCAGCATAGAGGCTGGCACAGAGCTCCTTCTGCAGGTTCAGCTGCCTAGCACCAGTGTCTGAAGAGGATTTGGGAGCGAAACCTGCAACACACGCTCCTGAGATCTGGGACTGCGCGGCTATCGAGCGGCACAGAAACGCCCCGGGGACGAGGTGGCAGGAAGGATGTGCTTTGGCCGGCTGTGGGGAAGCAGAAGCCTCGGCAGGGATGGGGCACTGCTGGCTCGGGTGGCAAAGCAGACGCTGCGGC